AATTCACTGATGCACAAACTAAAATCTTTTTGCGTCCTCTTTCCTCCTCCTAGTTAATGAAGTAGTTCATTTTAACTAAAACACCTTTTCATGTTGCTCATATAGTTAACTGTGTTATGATAAACCAAAATTATCTGAAAACAGTGTCCAAAGTTGAATAGTCCATGATTTTAAATACAGTATCTTTTCAATGACCACACAGGTGAAAGTATGTATTCTTTCTTTTGTATTGTTCTTTTCACAATGTTCTTGCACTGTTGCAGTATGGTAGTCTGTCCTGTTTTTGTCAATGCTGTTCATCAACTTCTTTCTCTCCCTTTCTCCTCTCAAAAAGTAAAAATGTCAAAGATAGACAAGATGAGCATCCTGGGGGTGAGGAGCTTTGGGATCGAGGATAAAGACAAACAAGTAATATCTTTCTTCACTCCTCTGACTGTGCTGGTTGGACCCAATGGAGCGGGGAAAACGGTACGAGAACATGTATTAAGAACTGTGAAGCTTGACCTGTGGTGAATGAACAAGAAAGTTGACAGTCTGCCTCTGAGATAACTCATGTGGGATTAAGCTGCCTGGACTGATTGTTTTATTTCCTACTTTTTCTGCAATAGCCTCAGACAAAAGTTGGAAAAATATATTTTAGGTCCTTGTATAATGTCACCCTCTTTTGTTTTCAGACTATAATTGAGTGCCTTAAGTATGCAACATGTGGGGAACTTCCCCCTGGATCTAAAGGAGGGGCTTTTGTTCATGATCCAAAGGTGAGTACACTCTCCTACTTAATTAAGTCATTTTATTTTTTTTAGAGAAATGTTTAAATATTCAGTTTGTCTAAATACTAATGTACATCCATACCTTATCCCTTTATTTTCATAAATGTCTCATTCACCTGTTCTTTAATGGTTTAAGAACTGCCTGGAACTATTTAATCTACCAGAGCTTTATATTTAGGTCTCTGTCACATGAGAACTACACAGGCTATCCTCGTTTAAGTTACTGTCTACTGTCTATACGGATCCCCAGGATGCCCATGAGACAGATGTGCGAGCACAGATTCGCCTTTTATTCTCGGATGTAAATGGAGAGAAAGTGACCATCCATCGCTCCATGTCGTGCACTCAGAAGGCAAAGAACTACTCCTTTAAAAGCTTAGAGCAAGTTATCACTAGAATAAAGTAGGTCACACTCTCAAGTTTCTGTTTTTGATCAATATTGAAAAACATACAAATGATTTTGAAGAGAAATTAAGATTATATCACTGGCATGTCCCCCTTATTATCATTCATCCAGAGACGGTGAGAAGGTGAGCTTGTCGTCTAAGTGCGGTGAACTGGACCGGGAGATGATTTCTGCCTTGGGTGTGTCAAAGCCTGTACTGAATAATGTCATCTTCTGTCACCAAGAAGAGTCTAACTGGCCGCTTTGCGAGGGCAAGGCACTTAAAGACAAGTTTGACTCCATCTTTGCTGCGACAAAGTAAAGTCAACTCATTCTTACATTTTTTTTATTTTTCCATAATAGCTAAAGTGAATCTAAAGCAAACATACCAAAGTGAAAGTATGCAAACACCATGCAGATATGCATTAATATCTTTTCCTCTTGTTCCCAGGTATATCAAAGCTCTGGAGACGATGCGCCAGCTGCGTCTAGCACAGAACCACACGGTCAAGGAGTGTCAGGTTGAGCTGCGTTATCTGAAGCAGAACAAGGAGAAAGCCCAGCAGATTAGAGAGACCGTGGACACCAAGGAGGCTCAGCTGACGGCCTCTAAAGACAAAGTAGAGAAGATAGAGAGCCAGATCGATCCACTTGAGGTGGGTTGCATGTTTGAGTGTGTGTGTTGAACTTTATGCAGTGGTGTGCAAAACCTTTAGGCACTATACAGCAACAACTCTCGTACCTCAAAATGTCAGGCAGGAGAATTTCTCAGTGTCCTCTGTTCCTCCATGTGATCATCTTTTGCACAATTCTGAACATAATTCTTTAGGACTCTGGCTGTATGTACGCCATCATGCTGTATGAATATATATTTATGAAAATTGGACAAAACTAAAACAAAGATTCTAATATGTAGGATTTTTGTCCATTAAATGAATACGTTTTTGCATCACTACATCTTAGTAGGCATTAGATTATGCTGTGCGGTACACTGGGTGGTGGGCATGACTAAAGTATCAGTAAGTTTTGTAATCATTTTCAGAATCGAATGATGGACATTGACACAAAATTTGGGAAAGTGATGAAGCTGGACAACGACATCAAGGCTTTAGAGAGCAGGAAGAAACAAATGGAGGCGGACAACCAGGAGCTGGAGGATACAATGGAACAGGTAACAGAATAATATGTAATATATATGTGTATATGTTTGTACATCTAAACAAGCATTGTGTTTATTTGTATCAGTTGATGGAAAGAAATAAGAAATTAGCTGGTTCGGCCAGCAGAATCACTGCTCACCTCTCCACTGACTGTAGAGAAACCTGACAAGTATGTATGAAGGATGTGTGATGATGAGGTTGGAATGAGGAAAACTCAAGTTCACTCAAATCAAGTCTCTCTGCCTGAGGGTTTAGTGAACCAAACACCTGCTAAACAGTGCTCCAGACTCCGATCAGTTTGAAGTGTTATGACCATAAATGTGAAACTAAGAGAAAACCTGCAGATGGTGAATGAGGTTGTTTTGATTTTGTAATAATCACCCAGTTCATCATTGGCCTGTAATATCACAAAATGTGTTTTTAGATCTGATGGATGTTTCTGCCCCTCATCCTACCAAGCATGATGATTTTAACCAGACCATATTTAAATATGTGTTTGTGCATATAATTTAATAATGGAAAGCCCCCTGGTGAAGTGCGACCTCTGGCCCTTACAATTCTCTCAGCTGTGCTCGATGTTCTTCAGAGCCTCTCTAAGCCAGTGAACTGTGTATGCGGCAGGTGTTTCAGGGCTCAGACGAGCAGCTGCAGGAAATGTATCAGAACCACCAGAGGACGGTGAAGGAGAAGGAACGGCGGCTCACAGACTGCCAGAAGGAGCTGGAGAGAGCTGGCCGAGAGTGCCTGCGACTAAACCGAGTCAAGGCTGATCTCCTGGTAGAACAAGGTACACACATATATGCACACGTTTAACAGTCTGTGCAACAGGGCCAACTCATGTATATTTTAATTTAAAAAATGTTTGTGATAGACAGCAGGATGAATTCGCTGCTGAAATCCTTCTTCTTCTTTGCCAGGTCGTCTTCAGCTGGAGGCTGACCGGCACACTCAAAACATCAGGAACCGTGACACTCAGGTGAGAGAGAAAAAAATACTTCCACACACCTGTACTGCAGCACCGCACACACTCTTTGTTGTTTGCTTCCATTTTGGCAACATCAGGCTTATGTTCCCGTTGAAGTTAGATGCAGTTCTTAGAAGTCACCTTTGACAGAATTGTCTCCATTGATAAAGAGTATATTTTGGATTTTAATGACACTACTATCTCTGCCTCAGGTTCGCTCTTTGTCATCCTATCTGGAAATGGAGGGATACGACCGACCGCCCTTCACCACTCTTCAGCTTGAGAGTTTTCACCGTCACACCACTCAGAGATTGGAGCAGGAAAAAGAGACAGCCAGTCAGGTTTTGGTAAGAAATTCTTCGTTTGATGTGACAACATGCTGTTCATAATATTTTATACCACAAACATGATTTACAGCAAATATAATGTTATGATGAAATTATAATAATTGTGGATAAGATAAAGTCACAATAGGTGATAGTGTGCTTTTATTTTTCCAAGTGTATAATTTAATGCTTCCAAACAGCAGTGTTATTTTACAGTCAAGTCATTCAGACAATGACTTCAAGTGTTTCTCCAGATTGTATTGCCCTAATTTCTACTCACTTTTGCCACTCAGACGGACCTGCAAGAAAAAGAGCAGCAGAAGCAACAGTCCATTGATGAAATGAGGGACAAGAAGACTGGCCTGGACAGAACTGTGGAGCTGAAGAGAGACCTGCAGGCAAAGAAGCAGCAGGAACTGAGGAACATCCGAGCAGAGCTGCAGAGGCTGGAGGATTCGTCCACTCGCCTGCAAGAACTGGAGAATGAATTGGCTAAAGCAGTGAGTATACAAACAATGGATGTGACAAGTTAGTCTACATTAAGTAACTTCCCACCCCCGCCTCTTTTCGACAAATCAGTCTGTAAAATCCTTTAATAATGATCTGTTGTTATATGTACATAAGTGTAAGCTTTTTATATGCATTTCTCATTGTATCATCGATGGATTATTAATATTTTTTTCCTCATATTAGGTTTTTTACAATATTACTCTCATGAAATGTTTTGACATATTTGATTTGTGATATACAAGTCATTTCTAACATATGGTATCTATCCATCATTAAAGTGTGGGTGTGTGTTTTCCTCCTCAGGAGCGCGAGCTGCAGAGTGCAGTGCAGAGTTCCAATGTCGAGGAGCTCAAGGTCGAGGTTGTGGAGCTCCAGAGAGAAAAGGCTGAGCTTGATCGTGCACAGAGAAGGCTCGACCAAGAAATGGAGACACTCAACACCCACACCTCAACACGCACGCAAATGGAGATGCTGAAAAAAGACAAGGTATGGTGCAGAAGATTCATCTCCTGCCTGTTCTTAGATCAGCAAGTGATACAGAACATCAGAAACACAAACCGCTCTTTTATACCTGTCACTTGCTATTCCCTCAAGTAAATATTGAGTGACCCTCTGTGGTAATTTATCCTTGTTTGTTCATCTACTCTCTCTGTACGTCTTTTCCCCTTCATCTTTCTCCTTCTTTCCTATTGGCTTCTGTCATCATTCCTTTTTCCACTGACTCTCCTTGTTGTTCTCCTCGTTCTTTCAGACAGAAAAGGAGGACCAGGTGCGTAAGATCAAGTCTCGTCACAGCGAGGATCTGGTGTCGTTGCTGGGTCACTTTCCCAACAAGAAGGAGCTGGAAGACTGGATCTATGCCAAGTCAAAGGAAATCAACAGCACAAGGGACAGACTCGCCAGACTGAAGTGAGATTTATCTGCACAACAAAGAGAAAGTCCTTCAAAAATGATCTCTCTGCAACACTGACAAATGTGGTCTTTTGATTTTGATTTTTCTCAGTAAGGACCTGGCATCAAGTGAGCAGAATAAAAGCCACATTGCTTCTGAGCTGCGTAAGAAGGAGCAGCAGTTGTCCAGCGATGAAGAGAAGTTCTTCAACGTGTGTGGCAGTCAGGATCTGGAGCAGGACCTGGGCAAACTGCAGGATGATCTGGAGAAGATATCCAAACAAAGAGGTGAATGTTTCAACAATAAAATTCAAGGTTTCTGAGCTGATGACATTTTGTCATCCCAGACAATTCCAGATTTTGTTAATGCTTCCCTGCAGTAAACATTTAGTTAAATTCCCAGTGCCAATCACTATATTTCATGATGAGAAAATATAGTGACTACAACATCTAGTGACTCAGACAAAACTTTGTATTTAAGGTTCAGAGTCAGTTGCTTTTCTAAGATTGTCACAGATTGACATTTGAGAATGTGTGAATTACATGTATGTGACACTACATCTGACAGTGTAACATTACAGACACAACCAGAATCCTGTTTTAACCTTGTATTGGCATGCTATTGTACCTCGTGTCAGTATTTGTTCAGTCAATCTTAGTATTTGCAGTAAAACAACCAGGGGGCGGATTTCTGGCCTAACATGTTGCCACCTGGTTCAGCTTGAATTCTAGTGGTCGCCATATACATAGAATTGGTACAAAATATGTGTTATATATTTTTTTCTGTTTCCCCTCTTGTCTTTGTATAGCCATGCTAGCTGGAGCCACAGCGGTGTACACACAGTTCATCAGCCAGCTGACAGAGGAGAGGGAGCCCTGCTGTCCTGTGTGCCAGCGGACTTTCCCATCAGAGCCCGATCTGCAGGAGGTTATCAGTGACATGCAGTCCAAACTACGCCTGGTGCCAGACAAGCTGAAAAACACTGAGCAGGACCTGAAGAGGAAGGAGAGGAAGAAAGATGAGATGATGTCTCTCAGGCCTGTCAGGTAGTGTAACAAGTGCACAAGGACAGCAGGACAAATGCTGCAATTTGTGCTGTCATCATTATCTCTATGATGGCAAGATTTTCAATATGTCTTCAAGTTTGGCCATTCATTGCAATTAATTTATTTACTAATATGTTAAATGTAAGAAAATAGTTAAATATAAAAAAAAACAATACACATTTCCAATAGCCCTACCAAAGCAAAAGCATCCTATGGGTGGGATAGTGTATTTGAAAAGTTAAAAAGATCAATTCAACCAAAAAAACTCTGGAGAGTCAAGAGCCTGTTTTATGACATTTACTCCACAAGATGGAGCTAAATTCTCATATAACTGATGGTTTTATCCTTGGAGCTCTACTTACATTTCATGACATGGACAGAACCAAGCAGCCATTCTTAGTCTCTCTCACTTGTATTTTAAATGTGAAAGTTTTATATCCCAACTTTCAGCATGACAGAAATATTCAGGAGAATTTCTTGTATTGACAAGCTAGTTCAGTTGACAAACCTTCTTGAAAATGCCAGACACCAAATAAAACCTTTAGTATATGGCCTGCTCAAGTGCACAACTTATTTTATCTTTGGCATAATACAAAGCAAAATGCCATATAAACCCGTCAGAAAAGAAAACGTGAGGACTAAAGTGTTCAGGAATACCCCTCATAAATCTGCTACTTGACTAGCTGTATTTATAAGGAGTAAGGCTGTATGCATTGTAGTTACATACGAAGGTGCAGTAAGTGTGTTGCAGGACAACAGTGAATTTTTACATGTCACAACATATCAGATGTACGACAGAACTGTGATTGTTGAGCATGGAGAGGTCTCTGATGCTGGTAGAGATTATTTCGAGTGGATTTAACATGAAATATGTCAAATAAAGGCTCATGTTACAATGATCTTACTCTTATCTTTCATAGTCATTCATGAAACAAAATAGAGACTTCACACAACTGCTTTTATCAGAGTGACTACTTTACTCTCAATGCTCAAAGTATGTCTTTTGTCTCTTTCCTTAACCCAGGCAGTCCATCGTACAGTTTCGGGAGAAGGAGTTGCCTGAGTTGAGAAACCGTCTGCAGACTGTGAACAGAGAAATCGAGAGGCTGAAGGGAGACTTGGAGGAGCAGGAGACGCTACTTGGTACCCTGATGTCTGAGGAGGAAACTGCCAAGGCATGCCTTCAGGACATATCGCTCATGGACAGATACCTGGTACCATACTTCCGTTGCAGTCTTTATTCACCCCCTCTGTACAACTTGTTTACTAGGATCTATGTTTGTCAATTTTGTAAATTGGAAATAACAGCATCAAAAAAGAAAACATTTAATTGGCACTTGAGATGTGACACATCACTTTTAAGATATTATAAAGTCCTGGAAATGTATGTACATCTCTCTCTTATACATGTTCCCATTCTGTCTGTCTCCACCTTATATTTACTTATTTTTCCTTTCCAGATTGACCTTAAAGAGGTGGAGAGGAAAATAGCTCAACATGGTGCCAAACTCCAGGGTGTAGACCTGACCAGGACCATCCAGCAAGTTAGTCAGGAGAAACAAGAAACTCAGCACAGGCTAGACACCAGTAAGATGATATTACACAGTTTTGGCATCACTAATGGTTGTTTATTCTTGAATAGAGACACAGGCCTCTCACATGTGACAAACCATGAAGTCAATTTAAACTTATCATGTTACCATCGCCTCTGAAGTAGTAAGAAGGACAAGACTCACTCAAAAACTTCAGAGTAGAACATTTGCACTGTTGTTTGACTGTTCAATAAGTCCAGGTCACAGAAGCCTTTGACTACACTTAGCATATGTTTCTTTTAAAGTTGCTTTAAATACAAGTCTCAACAACTATTAACCTCTCATTCATCCTGCAACATCATTTGCTGCCTTCACATCAGGAGCATTGAACAAATGTCTTTGTCTTGGACCATTTGTTTCCCTGCAGCCTCCAGCAAGATGGAGCTGAAACGTAAACTGATCCAGGACCAGCAGGATCAGATTCAGATGCTGAAAAGTTCTGTGAATGAAACAAGAGCAGTGAAGCTCCAGCTGAGCAGCGATATGCAGAAACAGCAGCAGCTGGAGGAGCAGAGTGTCGAGTTCACCACCGAGATAAAGGACTTGACCAGGGACATCAGGGTACTTCTTTGTTTCTTCGACTAAGAAATTGATGTAAAACTATAGGTGCTTTTGGATTCCTGCATTTTACACAGAAATGTACATGACTTTTGGCTAGTAGTGATACGGACATTTAGATATACACAAAAACTAATGCTGTGGTGCTGTTGGAGAAGAAAGTCTGCTATCTATTTATAAGCCACCCTGTCCCGATTTTCTTTCCCACCAGGAAGCAAAGGAACAGCTCTCCCCTCTGTCTGCTGCTCTAGAGAAGCTGCAGCAGGAAAAGCAGGAACTGATGGAGCGCAAGAAACAGAGACAGGAAGAAGGGCAGGAGAAGGTGGACATATTCTCACTATCGCTCTTATTTTGTCCTGTATTGGAAACTGCTGAAAGTCGACAAGACTAGCTCAAGTAGCTGCTTCACTCACATAGGCCTGGGAAAGATGGATTGTATTGTCCTTTGCTTGTTATCTCTTTCCTCATGATCAGTTAATGTTCAGCCTTTTTCTGTCTGAGAGAGTCTTTGCTCAGTTTAAAAAACAGGTCACATTGTCTGTAATGATGTAATTCAAGGGTAAGGTTGGATTAAAAGAAATTTGATTTTCTAACCCTTTGTCATTGATAGATCAATGCCATTAAAGACAGAGTGAAGGTGATCACCACCTTGGAAAGAGACATCACCAAATACGTTGATGAAGGCAAAAATGAATACAAAGAGGTAATATTCATATTGTTGCTTTTCCGTATCATTTTGTGAGGACATTGAATAAATACATTCACCATAAAAGATAAATGTTTGCCATCTTCATTTACCTTGAACCCCCCAGTCTTCACTTTCTTTCAAATAACTTTGTCATTGTTACCTTTGATATTAGTTGTAAAGGCTTTTGTTTTCTTGTCTCAGCAAAAAGAGTCTGAACTTCAAGAAACCAACTCTCAGCTGCATGATGCTGAGAAGCAAAAAGAGAAGATCAGTAAGGAGATGGGAAACATCCGTCAGGACATAGACACTCAAAAGGTACAGCCTCCTGAGTTGTTTTTCTCCCTGTGACTCTTCCTCTACTTTTCAAATAAAGTTGTAAATTCAGTCCATGATTGTAACTCAGTAGATTTTTAAAGTTTTAATATTTCTTAGGTTAAGGAGCGCTGGCTGCAGGACAACCTGACCTTGAGGAAGCGTGTGGAGGAATTGAAAGACGTTGTGGCCAAACATGAGGCTCTTACGAAAGACATGGGCAACATGCAAGTCATGCAGCTCCGCCAGTAAGCACAACACTACTATAAATCATCTTTTAGTTTAAGGAAAATGAAAGAGTGATTAAAGGGAACCAAACTATACAGAATACCTGTTCAAAACAACGTCGACCTCTTTTACATCAGCACACTGTCGCTTAATTGTATAACTTTTGGGTTTTGATCTTTGGAGACAATCAAATAAAATCATGGTTAAGTGTTGTGGTAGAATTTATTCAGAATGTTTTCACCTTGTCTCTCTCTGTGGTTGTCCAGAGAACGACATGAAGCAGAACGCAAACTGGAAGACCTGAAGAAAAACCGAAGTATTGCACTGGGACGCCAGAAAGGCTTTGAGGAGGAGATACTGCATTACAAGTGAGAAATACAGATATGGTTCTTCCAGGAGGTATTCAGAGCCCTTCACTTCTTTCATTTTTTCATTGGAGAAGTCAAAACTGACGTTAATGTTCTTGCTATGACATTTTCACTCAGGTGCCTCTTCAGTCTCTTTCTTATTATGATCATCTCGGAAACATTTATACATCTTGATTGGAGTCCACCTGAGGTGAATGCAGTTGACTTGATATCATATTTAAGGCACACACATCGGTCTGTGGTCTTACATCATACAATGCAAAACTTTGAGGTAGAAGATCTCTGGTTGATCTGTCAGGCCTCAACTGTAGGCGCTGAGACAGTGAAGTGGCTTTGGGACAACTCTGTACTGTTAAGAGTCTGAATCATTTTTCAGTTTATAATTTTAATACATTTGTACAACATTTTTTTGATTCTGGTCTTGCTTTTACATTTAAGGGTATTGAGTGGTGGGGATTTTAGCATGAGGCTGAAAAGAAGTGATTGTGTCTGAATACTTTCTGAATGCTTATGTTGTTTGTTCAATTCGGTATCAAAGGCAAATTTAATGTGTCATTGCACCTCTAGTGTTGAGAAGTTAAAATATTTACCCAGCGAGTTGCCTTGATTAATTAGAGAAGAACAAAAACTCATACAATTGTTGTTTCACTGCTTTTTTATTTTGACTTTAACTTGCTCTTTGAATTGATCGCTTGCAGAAAAGAGCTGCGGGAGGATCAGTACGACAAAGCTGATGAGCGCTACAAAAACAAGATGATCATAATGAGGACCACAGAGCTGGTCATTAAAGACCTGGATATCTACTACAAGGCCCTCGATCAGTGAGTGTAACACTAACTTGAACTTATATGTGTCTTCTGAGGTTACAAACACTAATCAGTTACTAAGAAAGAGCTTTAGGTCTCCAGAGGAAGACGTCAGAAACAATTGCTTATCTATCGTGTGGGAATGTATATGACACAGACTGATATATGGTGAATCTGATCTGAATGAATGTGAAACACATTTGCTATACATGGGGATTTTTTGCAAATATTGTTTATTAATATCATAAAAGCAGAGAAAAGAGTATATTAATTATACTTAAACCTAAATATGCCCTTTTTTTATCAAGATCCATGAATGATTTCCTGGGAAATTGGTGAAAATGTACCAAAATACACCTGATTCTTGCAGTGTGAAAGAAAATGGGTCCCAGTCTTAAATTTTGATGAGTCCTTTCTTGGCCCATGTCCCATCCCTCCACCAAGTTGTTAATGTAAATGAAAAACAAGATAAAAGAACATTATTCTTATATAAAAGTGACAGAGCAGAGCGCTCATTAAAAAGCAACTTTCATTAGGTAGGTTTGAAGTGTTTTCCAAAAGTGTGTCTGGTGCTCACAATGGTGGGATTGTTAAGATATACTGTAGTTCCAACCTCAGTGCAAGTCATCTTTTTCTTCCCCTGGACATAAGATCATTAAATCTACCACAAACTTTCAGATTGTTAGCTGCAAAGTCCTGAGTTTCAAGAGTGATGTCAATTCCTTTGTTACTACGTGGCCTCGGGGGTGTTTGGAGGCCTTTAACCTCGCATGGACCTCCTTAAGTGTGCAAACCTTTCTTGTGGTGAACAAATCTCAAGCACATTCGCCCACTGAAGGCAAAACAAAGCATTTACAAGATATGTTTCGTCAGTAGTTGGGTTTCCTGTGTGTTAATGTCTTCTCTGTCAGACACGTATACATTCATCATGACTTTTAACTAAGATTAATCTTTGCTAACATTATTATGTATAGAGTATAAAATGTTATTGGCGTGTCATTTTTGTAGCTGTAGAAAATAATACAATACAAGATGCTAAGTTACAATGAAAAGAAGAAAACAGTAGGAAACAGTTAAGAAGCAAACAAGAAATAATTTAAAAGCAACTTGAAGATCACACAGTAAAAGTAAATAAATAAATAAATAAAATAAACCATTTTGAAATGTACGGTAAGGTCAGAACTAGGCGACTTGTAAGAATGTCTTTAAGAGAGATTTGAAAGAGAATAAGGAGTTTGTCAGGTGGATCTCCTCAAAATAAAATGCCTGTATACCTCTGGTCCTCAGCCGGGGCTGGAATGGAGAGTAGGGCCTTTGCTGAGGGCTTCCGGTAACATATCAAAAGATCCACATGTCAACAATAAAATCTTGAAACAGATGTTTAAGACAGTAATGTTGAGAGGGACTTTGTTGAGAATTATTTGCCCCTGCACCAAATTAAACACACTCACACAGCAGATATGATTGATTTTTTTCAATCATATCATTTCCATCAAGACCCAAGCCTTTGCAAAATTTCATGGAAATCTGTTCCATTATCGCATAATCCTGCTGACAAACAAACTAACAGATAACAATTTGCTTTTGGATACGAGGATACATGTGACAGCATGAAGTGAGGATGAAGAGCTTTAGTGAGGAAGTGTGAGCTCAGATATCATCTGAGGAGAGAGAGAATCATCATTTACCCATATATGTGGGTTATTTAAGGCATCCGTGTCAGCAGCGTTATCAAGATTAAAAGCAGACCTACGCAGCTTTCCAGCAAACCAGATATCCAGGCCACAGTTTCTGTGTGAATAATACAGAAGATGGTTTCATGGCGACACATTGTAGTTTCATTAATATAAAAAATACCTTTGTTACTCATTCCTAAACAAGTTGCTGTGTTCCTAATAGATAAAAACCCTCACGATGTTATTGTCACGTACCTTTTGAGCGTGCTGAATAATAGCTATAACTGATTGTGTGTTTTCTTATTCTTTTTTTTATATTCTTTTATAGTGACTTTCAATGGTATTTTAAAAATAGTCATATTTATTGTCAAATAAATGGCTGTAGGCAAAAATTTGATTTTTAAATACAATTAAAATAAAAACCAAGCTCAATATACATGGTCATGTAATGCATTTATATTTTGAAGTAACTATAGTGACTTTCCAAAAATGTTAACAAAAAGGGAGATACACATATTTGATGTAAAAATGAAAACACTTTCAAGTTCAAGCTCAAGTGTTTGAATTAAAAGTATTTTAAACATGCTACTTGGTTACTGGGTCGGAGAAGACCCTGTAGGTTTGTAAACTAAATCTTGTCTCACTGTATCAGTCTGATGATCAGTAGTAACAACTAAATGTACTCTGTCACAGGTCGTTTGTTTTTGTAGATCATATCAGTTGAAGTAGTTTTTATGCAGCATCACTTACACTCCATGATATGCTTTTCTTTATATATTTTATGCATTCATGCATATTTCCATACAATTCTCTTTATTGTTAAGCCACACTTAATAAAAATGGGTTCCACTTGACCCTCATCACCTTCTAAGCTCAGCAGAAGTATTCTTTTACAAATGTGGTACATTAACAGATGGCACAGGCACACAGCACTATGTACCAAAAGGCTGAATTGGTTCACATTGGAAGTTGTCAGTACATCTCTCCTTCAGCCTGTATGTTAACTGTTTTGAGAGCACGACATCAAAATGGACCATTCTGTAACCCTGCTGTTACCTCACACCCTCATATTATGTTTTCATTTTTTACTATAACACTGAACTGACAGAGCATCAAAAGAAAAAACACTATAAAGTCACATAATATAGTTTAAGGCCTTATCAGTTATGCAATGTCATTCAGATATAACCAGGTCATATCTTTTCCTGATACCTTGAAATCCAATGACCTTGTAATAAGTCCTTAGCCATTACTTGGTTTTGATGCATCAGCATCATGCATGTCAATTAGAACAGATGCATGGATAAGGACTGTTCTGCTCCCTCTTTCTTTACTTCCTCTGTACATGATTCATTTGGTATTTACAAAAACCACATAATGGTTTTCTTGTTAGTTTGATAGATAATACAAAAAAAATTGCTTCTTGGTATGCAGGAAAGCAGCATCCAGTAACATTGATGTATCGATATGTTATCATTGTCAAGCTTCCGTTTAAGTTGGATTTTGCTTGTTACAAAGAGAAAATGCCATCACTTTTATTTTGTAACCAAATGATCGGAGAAGATATGTTTGCACACTGTTGTATATTGTGCATATGTTCACTTTTAAACCAACTGCAAGTTTATACCAAATACCGAAATGCAACAAAGATCATGTCAACATTTATTGCACCAGGACTCATAATCAACTGACACTGATATTTTATATTTATTCTAAGCTGATATGGTCTAAAGTATATAAACAAGCACAAAAAAATTCATTTTGTGCCCATTGTGATGACTTGACTTTTTCTATCATTAAAACGTTTTACTCTGTTTGATTTCCAATTTGATATTTACAACACACAATCATATGCTTTTTGTCTAGTTCACTTTTGGATTTATGTATTTGTTTCCTTAGAACGATCATGAAATTCCACAGCATGAAGATGGACGAGATCAACAAGATTATCAGAGACCTATGGCGCAGCACCTACAGGGGTCAAGGTGCATCCTATTTATTTAAATGATTTGTATAAATGTTGTCCACCCTCATCCCCTCTGTCAGAGTGTCACCTCTCCCTCTTGCCCTCCAGATATCGAATACGTGGAGATCAGGTCTGATGTGGATGAGAACTCATCTGCTGGAGTGAAGCGGAGGGTTTACAACTACAGAGTAGTGATGGTGAAAGGAGACACAGCTTTGGACATGAGAGGACGCTGCAGTGCTGGTCAAAAGGTGCCACATTAATGTTGTGTAGTAAAATTGCAGTGTCTCCCAGTAAACTATGATGTAATCAAGTACAGTAAAAACCAGATTCATTTTTTTTTCCCATGGGTGCCTGTTCAGGTGTTGGCGTCCCTGATCATCCGTTTAGCCTTAGCAGAGACCTTTTGTCTAAACTGTGGGATCCTGGCTCTGGATGAACCCACCACCAACCTGGACCGGGAGAACATCGAGTCACTGGCACACGCCCTCGTAGAGTCAGTACACACACACACATGCACACACACACACACACACACACACACACACATGCACACAGTTTGTACCTCCTATTTCACATGATGCATTACCAATTATTAACTTTGACATATCCACATGCCATAGCCCGAAGTCTTACTTAAAACCAACAACAATCCCTTTAAAGGGATAGTTCACAGAAAAATGAAGATTCACTCATTATCTACCCACCAGTACACCGATGGAGCGGTGGATGAAGTGTTTGAGTCCTCAATACACTTTTGGAGTCTCAGGGGTAAACAGACAAACATTCACGCCATGGTTTCAGCCTAAAAGTCCTCTGATATCCTCCTCAGGTTCTGTTGTCTTATTACCTGAAGAAGGGCTCCCTTTGGCGTGTTTTGTGGACTCAAACACTTCACCCACCTCTCCATGGTGGTTACAAAATAGGTGTGATGTGAAAGCCAGCAAGTACAAATTAAACACACGCAGAGATTATTTAATAAACCTCAGAGAGATCTGTTTCCAGTCATGGCTTCATGTACGGATCAATAAATTAGACATGAACAAGGAGCGCTGACAGAGTGCTGTCTTCATTCTGAACATGGCCTTGTTGCTTTGAGGTGGTGATGTAATGAAAACAGCATGAAATGTCATCTCTTCATCTTCTCTCGGTCACTCTCCCCAGAATCATTAAGAGTCGCTCTCGCCAGCGTAACTTCCAGTTGCTGATCATAACCCACGACGAGGACTTTGTGGAGCTGCTGGGACGGTCCAGCTACATTGAACACTTCTACCGCATCCGTAAGAACCAGGACCAGAACTCGGAAATCACAAAGTGCAGCATCACGTCCCTCTCATCGTATCTCCACTGAGCAGAAACCTGACTCTTTCAACGTAGTTGGAAACAGTAATCCTGCATCTTCTGTGTTGGACAAGGTCATATTCATTTCATTGAGTTCATTTCAGAAGGGTTTTTGAAGCATGAAGAAAGTTTTAAGTCACTCCATCCTAAATTAACTTGAAAGTTAATTGGTCTTCAAATTATTTAACCTCCACAAACTAAAGACACTAGCGAAACATCCATAGTCCAACGTGTGAGACTTATAATCTGCATCACAACTTTGTTTAATTACTCTCCTTCACATAAAGGCCATTCTCTGTCCTGTTGTTTTCTCTATTCAGCTGGAAGGACATTTAAAGATTCGTACAATGTTAATAATGTTCCTTTTTAATGAAAAAGTAAAAGGTGAAATTCTTACAAAAATCTGTTGATTCTAGTTCCTTCTGAACGTACCCTGTGATCCGTCTCTTGCTTCGTGCCCCTTCAGTTGATGCAAATCAAAAACATTTAACAAACTCACACTAAAAGTTAAAATCTTCTGATGTAATTACACTAAAATAACCTGAGTCAAAAAGCTAGTGTGTGTAAATCTGTTCATAAATCAAGTGTAAAAACTTGATGTTGAAGTTTCCATTTATATTTCACTTTCACTTGTTTGTCACTTTGTGAGCTTCATAATGTTCTGTCATTAAATTCCTTGTGAAGGACATAAGCTGTTCTATACGTTGCTGTTATTTTTTTTGACACTTCAGAGAAAAGTAGCTCAGTTTAGATGAAGTTGCTCATTAACCACCAAATCTTATCTCAGCGCAACTATCTGAGGGAAAGCACACGTAGCAAAGGCGTGGGCAAAGCAAGTATAAATCTTAGTTTGGAGTCGAGATGTCAGAATGAGCTGCAAGTCTGACAATAGATCCATCACTTCGAGAGCATCTTCGATCAGTTTCCTCTGGAAGTCGACAGCTAACGAGCATCATGAAGATGACAATGGTTCTGCTGGTGTCCAGTCTGGCTCTGCTGGTCAGCCCTGCTCACATTGACATACGCAATAAGATTATTGATTTGATTTCAAAGATTCCAGAGAAAAAGCCTGAGGTAAGAGCCTAACAGTTTTCTCGTAATTAATGCATTATTTAAGAAACACATCAGAAAAAGTTGAAAACCTGAAACTTTTTTCTATTTTAAGCTGCAGGATCTGTTTGTGGACAATGTGAAGGAACTGGATAGTGACTGTGGGGTGAGAACTGTTTTGTCTTCTGTAGTTTAAATGTGACTAATTTAGCTGTTGAAGTCATGTCAGAAATTAACGAGCACAATTGCAGCGTCGATTTTGCATATTGGACGTTCGCTGTTCTGGGGGTTGTTTACTAATATGTATTTTTTTTCTTCCGTACAGAACGTTTTCTTCTGCAAAGTGAAGAATGTCGTGACACACCACAACAACACTGAACTGAAGGATCTTGGTGACCAATTGAAACATTATATGAAACATGTAAGAATTCCCTCTGATGTCACATTTTCCAAATCGGATGTTAACGTCTGGTGTTCAGAGGTTTAAAGTGCCACACTCAACCTTTTCAGACAAAGCGAATGCAGTGACAGTTGAGAAATATTGATGAAAAGTGGTTCACTTACTAACCCTGTTGATTTCTTGTCTTTTCAGGTGAAGTGTGAAAAGGAACTTGAGGGCATAAAAACAACTGGAATCCAAATCCGATTAAAGGACTTGATGACGGATGTCGTGAACTGTATGAAGAAGCTAAATCTGAATGTAGGAAAGAGTAAAACTGGCCAGAATTGAAGCACCTGAAAGAAAAAATCAAGGCATTCAGGCGTGTGTCTTCTTTCCTCGAAAAGTCATAATTTATTTTCATATTT